CTATGCTTATAGTTGAATATAGTCTTTGCTAACTAAGTCTAATTTGCAAAAGTTTAGAGATTTAAATGTCAATGTTTGTCCAATATTGTTTGCTAACTTTTAAATAAAGTCATCAGTGTGTATTTGTGATTAAATGTGTTCTCATCCTATTACTTAAATGGAACAGATTTCTTCACAGGGTGTTTTGAAAGGCACTTATACAAAACTAGCCTGCTTATTTGTATATTTGATCACTGGTAGCCAGGGTGGATATATTTGAGGAAAAAAAAATAGAACAATACAGGAAGCAGCAATACCTATGCCATCAGTCCTGGTTAGATGTGATGAGAACCCAAAAGGTGGCAAAAGTGATGGGGGTAAAGAAATAAACTGGAAGGGCCTGGTGGCTGATGTGCCCTGGAAAAGGAAAAGTTAAGAGTAATGCCCAAAGTTTCATTTGGTGGGGCAGAGTGGACAATGATGTCGCCACTTGAGATAGAAAGTACAGGGGGGGGAGAAATCTCTTATTTTGAGTGGAGTGAGTTGCAAGGGCTGTCAAGGTAGTGAGATGAGTTTCAGCTGCTTGAAGAATATCCAGGTGATAATACCCACAGGCAGTTGAATGTATCTCAAAATTGGAGGAGATGAAGGGGCTAGGAATGAGAGTCATGTGGGTAGAAGTTGGAACCGCAAGAGTGCGTGAAATCAGTTCCGGAGAAGCTACAGAGGAACTGTGGGGGAGGGGGGGAGAGGGGCGGGGTCAAAGACAAAAGCCCAGGGACATCTTAATGCTTCGAGGACAGACAAAAAAAGGGGATCTCAGGAAGCAAAGTGGGAAAGAGCCGTCATGTTATCAGCAGTCCGTCATGATGTTATCAGCAGTCCGTCATGTTATCAGCAGTCCGTCATGTTTTCAGCAGTCCGTGGTGGGACTCGTTGTCTGGGGCCTGGGCCAGCAAAAGATTCAGAGTGGGCGGGGTCATCACCAAAGTGTTGAAACCAGGCTGGCTCTGGCTCCCACAACATTCACTGGGTAGCTTAATTATCACGATTGAGGTAAGGATGACCCTTCCCTTCTCCTCTCTTTATCTGCATCAGTCAGAGTAGGTAGATCAAACACCCTCTCTCAGTATAGGAAAAAGAAAAAAAATCATTGGAGCAAATCAGGAAATTGGTTTCTGGCTCGGAAGAAACACTCCTGTTTTGACTTTGGATATCATCTAACCTTTCTCAGGCTGGTGCTTATCTGAAAAATAAGGGCCTTTGGATTATCTTCAAGGGCTCTACCTGTTGGGTGAGTCAGGAGACAGAAACCACAGGTTATTTCAACAGAGGACCATATAAAGAACTGTTAAATAGGCATTGAAGAAAGGGCCAAGGATGAGATAGCCGCCACCTGCAAGAAGCACCTGTCCCTGTGAGGGCTGCGGGAACAAAAGGGAACAGGTTGGCATCGTTAAAGCAGAAACCCAGACTTCTGAGAGGGGTCTGCCCAGCTGGCACCTCTGAGGGGCACTGGTCCTGGGAGTACTGAAGAAACTGCCAGCTGAAAGCAGCGTGGCTCCTTGTATGAGCTGCAGAAAGACATTGTCAGTGATGCTGATGGGAGCAGAGCACACAGGAGGAACCGCGTCCCTTCCTCCTCCAGCCTTGTGGCTACTGATACCCCG